CCTCGTCGTACTAGTTCTCCGCCTCTATCATCCTCACTTGTTTGCATCATCACAAGTAGTCGTTGTCGTCGTCCTCGACGAGCACATCTTCCTCTTTGGACGAGGAAGATGTGGAGGAGAGGATTATGCTGCTGATGCTGATCACCGCCAATATGATCAACGTGTCAATCCTGTCGAGAACATGCTGTTTTTTATGGTCCTCTCCCTCCTTCAAGGAGAGGGTTGTAACAACAACAAGAGCATCCTCCGCCTGCCCCACCAACGTCTTCGTCCCCCCCTCCTCCTCCTCCTCCTCCTCCTCCTCCTCCTCCTCCTCCTCCTCCTCCTCCTCCTTTGGTCACCACCACAGACTCAAAGAGAGTTTCTGCTGTGTCTCTGTTCGCCTCCTCGCCCGAGTAGGCGGCAGAGGCGACACGCAGGATGGTGTCGATGAATTCTTCCCAGGAGATGGAGCCTGAGCTGTTGGAGTCTGTGGGGGAGTCAGTGGAGAGACGTATGAAGACGATGCTGCTGCTGCTGATGATGCCGATGACGTCAGTGATGATGATGATGATGATGATGATGATGATGATGATGATGATGATGCCGATGACTTCAGTGATGATGATGATGATGATGATGATGATGATGATGATGATGACGATGATGGAGCAGGAGAAGAAGAAAGACATGGCGATGTTGAGGAAGAAAACAGGAGATTGAGGAGAAACTGATGGTGGCGCAGCAGCAGCAGCAGCAGCAGCAGCAGCAGCAGCAGCAGCAGTCGTGACAGGTTGAGGTCAAGGTCGTGAAGGACATGTCTCTAGATTCGAAACATACCGATGTTTCGGAATATCAGAGACATCGACTCGCGGCTGACGTTTCCTCCGAATTTCTCTTTGAAGACGTCGACCTGATATCGCAGTGAGCAAGGCAGCAAGAGAGAAGGGAATATCGAGAATCAGCTGCAAGAAGCTTGACGATAGGATCAAGGAGCGGGTTACGAGGATGAACGTAGCTGGGGGGTGTGGGAATGCGAGGCAGTGGAAGGGGAGTGGAGGGGAAGGGGGGGGGGGGTATGGGAGGAGGCGAGGGAGGGAAAAAGGAGGAGGAGTACCATGTCCTCAAACTCGAGGTCGTTCCCTCGGAGCAGGAACTCTTCCCTGAGCTCGGGCAAGTGATCGGCATCGATCATGAAGAGCGACATCAGCTTCTCTGCCTGCCGTGAGAGATCAAGGAAGGGGCGAGTAGCTCGATGGTTAGGAAGAGAAGGGGGGAGTGTGCAAGGGGAACGAGGAGGTTAGGATAGGCAGGTGAGAGAGAAGAGTCCTGGCAAAGGGATGAAGTTGTAGGATGTTTAGGAGAAAGAACAGGAGAGAGGGCAGACGTTGAGATGAAGTGGGAAGGAGGAGGAGGAGGAGGATCAGGAAAAGGAGGAGGAGGAGGAGGAGGAGACAAATATGATGATTATGATTATGATGATTATGATGATGACGACGACGACGACGACGATGATGATGATGATGATGATGATGAGGCGGAGGAGGAGGAGAAGGGTCACGAGCAAATGTAAATAAACCTCATTCTTGAACTGCTTCTTGTCCAGTACGATGTCGGTGATGTCCTGCATTGTCAAGTCATCTTTGCACCTGATCGCTTTTATCCTCACCATCTTTTCCTTCTCCACGTCAGGATTTTCTGCCAGAGGGCGAAGGAGCCTCAGGTAGTTCTGCTGCAAGTTGCTCTTGCTGATTCCTGATACCCGGATCCTCACGTTCAGCCGCTTGCCCGCCAGCTGAAGAGCTTTCTGATACAAGGCGAAGCCGATCCCAGGGCAATCTTGCAGAAGAGTGAGATGATAAGATGAACACGGGGATGAAACGAAAGTAGATGTAGATGTAGGTGAAGGTGATGAAGAGCAGCCGATGAGAATTTTGAGGGCAACGAAGACAGTGACAGTGATCATGAGGACGAGGAGGAGGGCAAGATAAGTTCTTACCATCCAAGTCCTGGAACGAGCGCATGACGGCTCGCAGAATGGAAGCGGCGTCATCCTTGTCGAGGAAGGGATACGGCATCGGACCGCAGTAGGTCAGGGGATGGTGAGGCCAAAAACTTGAGTGCCAGTGATCCCTGGGCTTCCTCTCGCGCGAGAAGACGATCCCAAACATCAGCCACATGCCCAACACCTGACGAGGGAACAGAGTAAGACTGAGACGAGGGTGAGTTTGTGAGTCAGCGCGGCACACGAGAGCGAGAGGAAGCTAGAGGGAGCGAAGAGGAAGAGGTCAAGAGAGGACTAGAGGGCTAGGGAGGATAGGAGTGTGAGAGCAGAGGAGATGGGAGCAGATGGAAGCGACTTTGTGTGTCTGACCTGATGGACCTCAAGGTAGTTTGTTTCTTTGTCGAAGGTAATCTGCAACTTGCGGTGATGTTCGAAGAGGTCCTGGCGGTAGAAAGCATCCTCCAGAATGAGTTGCAAGAGGTTGTTCCCAACCCGGAGCACTCTCAGAGCAAACTTGATCTTGATCTTGTTGTTCAGACCCAACATCGATGACGCCGACGCTGTACGGGAATACAAGAACCTTGAAACACTGCCCTCGCTCTTGTCAGCAAGGACGAAGTGGAAGCATGCTTTGATCCGATCGACCCGCTGGGACTTGAAGAAGGCGGAGGAGAGGAAGCTCTGATGCAGATCAAACCTGATGACCTCCCCCTGACTTGGTTCCAAACACTGCACTGGGTCTGACGATTTAGACGTGTACGTCATGTCCAGGGAGAGGCGTTGGAAGGGGGCAGAGTCAGACTCCATGTTGATGATGAGCACAGGGTTCAGGAGAGGCTCTTTGATGTAGATCTTCACTCGGTTCATCTCGTAGAACGAGGCGTCCTTCCCTTGCTCCAGCTCGAACTCAATCTCGCAGAAACTTGAGGAGGGAGCGAAGAGAATCTTAGATGGAGGAGGAGGAGGAGGAGGAGGCCCATCTACCGATCTCCTCCTCAAGCTCATCATTACCCTCCTCTTGTTGTTCACCTTGAGTCGACACTCCCCTCGTTCCCTTCCTCCCTTACTTCTACCACCTCCGCCATTTCAACGGCGAACGCCTGCCCAGGCCCTCTCAGGGTCTGATTGACGTTTTTTTTCAGTCACTGATAGAGACTTTCGTGGTTGGAGTAGCGGTTTTCGCTGCCTCCTTGGTTTCCTAGTATTTCATTGAGGCGGGGTTGTAGGCTTTATCCTCCCCCTCCTTTGTTTCCTCCGGTTTGCCCTTCTTTTTCAGTCCGACAATAAAAGATAGAGACAGGCTCCGGCGAACTGCCGCCCTGGCCGCAGCCCGGCGCCACCGGCCGGCCCGGCCCGGCAACCGACCTAGCAGAAGCTACTCCTCTCGTCGCCCACGGACGTTGGAGGCCCGGGTTCTGAGAATTCACCGGCCCGAGGCAGTGGACTCAAAAAGTGTCATAGTATGGTTTATGATGACAGGTGAAACGGTACAAAATCATACAAAACCCGCAAACTTGGAATGCCACATAGATGTCCGCGGCATCGCTCAGCTCAGGTCGTAACAAAGAATAAGAAGCATCAAGATCAACGGGGCGACTTGTTATCCAACAGTACTGGATCTGCTGCATCCAGATACTCCCGGTTATGTTGAGGGCCGGCACGCTTGTCAGGCGCGGCCGGAGTCAGCAGCCAAGGGGATCGCGTTCATCACGGGCGAAGCCTGAGGGTCTTTCTGCCAGTAGTAGTTCCCCCCTGAGATGGCTGTTACCTGCCAGCGGGTCAGACCTACTGGGCCCTCCACCTCCAAGGGAACCTTCTTGATGGCAGGCGTGTGCTTCTTGCCGTCTCCATATCTGCGGTAGAACATGTTGTCCGTGGGGGCGAGCATCGAGTGCAGGCCGAGCTTGAGCCCCTTGCCGATGAGCAGCCGGTGTCTCGGTTTGATCCGCTGCTCAAGGCTGTAGGCGAGAAGCTGGGGCGACGACACGAGCTGAGAAGAGGATCAGCACAGCTCGCAGCGCCAGGTGGGCGGTGGGCACCTGTTGGCGGATGACCTCCTCGTCCACCTTGATCTCTCGGACGAGGTAGTGGATCTTGGGCCGCAGGTTGTGCTCGATGCTCAGCCCAAGGAGGCTCGGGTACTTGGTCACGATGGCTCCAACTTGTGCCCGGGTCAGCCCAACCTCCTCCAGCAGGAAGCCAACAGTCGGCCTAAGGTTGCGGTCGACACTGCCAGGCGTCAGAGGTCACGTGGTCACGTGGCTGCTGAGGGCACCTGCATCCAACGATCTTGGGACACTTCTCAACGACGACTCCGATCTTCTCCTTGGGGATCCCGACCTCCTCTATCAAGTACTTGGCCTGCTCTGCCATCATTCCCCACACCAAGGTCGCATCCTCTGCCTTACCATGGGCCGGAGTTTCGTCTCCACGCTGTACCCCAAGATCTGAGGATGAGTAGACACGAGCTTGCCCATCCGTTCCCGCGGAATCCCGAGCTCTCCATGCAGGTAGGCGACCGTTGGCCTGAGGTTGTCCTGCGAGGAGGAGTAGATGGTCAGACTGAGAGAAGTTCTGACGATGTTTGAGCACCTTGATCTTGTAGGCGAGGATGTGCGGGAAGGATGCAATGGTCTTGCCAAGCCTGGACTTGGGGATCCCGACCTGGAGGGAGGGGTGAGCGAGGAGGAGCGCACGTGTCGTGTCACCTCCTTGACCAAGAAGTCGATGTGCATCCTGATGTTGTCATCGAGGGAGAGGCCGAAGAGCTGGGGGAAGGAGCTGAATATCTTGGACAGCTTCTCAGCGGGCACGTCAGCCCCGACCAGCAGGTACTGCATCATCGGGCGGAGGTTCAGGTCGACGCTAAGGCCCAGCAGGTGTGGGTAAGAGCAGATAACCCGCCCGATCTGCTCGCGGTTGATCCCTACCTCATCCCAAAGGTACTGGACCGTAGGCTTGAGGTTGTTCTCCAGGGAGTAAGACATGACCTTTGGATGCAGTTTGAGGATCCTGCTCATCTTTTCGATCGGGATTCCGATCTTCATCAGCCATTGGAACACAGGGCGCATCTGATTGTTCACGCAGCAGGAGAGGATGGAGGGGTATGCCAGCACAAGCTGCCCCAGGTCCTCTGCCTTGATCTTCATCTCGTTCCTGAAGAACCCGATAACCTCCGATGTCACTGTCCTGTGATCGGCGGCCAGGAGGCGAGGAGAGGTCTGAAGAATCTTCACTATCTCCTCGTGCTGGAGCTTCAGGTTTTCCATGTAGAACGCAATCCTGGGCTTCAGGTCGTACTCCACATCCAGGGAGAGGATGGAAGGGAAGCTGCTGCTCAGGGAGGTGATCTTGGTGGGTTCGATGCGCAATTCACGTTGCAGAAAGTCGACGATAGCCCTTGAGACATCGGCGTCGATGTTGAGCATTTCAGGATGAGCGTTGATCATGCTACAAATCTTCTCCCTCCCAATGTTCATCTCGTTCTTGAGGAAATCGATCGACAGCCTGACCTTGGACGCTGGCTTCGGCTCGCAGTGCCTGAGGTAGTTCTCAGCTATCCACGCTGCTCGGTCACTGTTCAGCATCAGGCAAGTTTCCAACAGAGTCTTCAGGTCTTTCTTGTACTGCACTTTGTCTATCACCTTGTGCTGAACTCCAACATCCCCGTCCACCTCCAGCCCTGGAATCGTGTGCAAGAAAGCTTTCAGCCTCATCAGCTGCTTCTCTCTCTCCCTCGTCATCTCTTCTCGAATCTGTACCTTCCACTGATCCTGCAACGAGGTCTCGGCAGCCGTGCCGTGGTGATCTTGAACGCTCGCAGCCTCCAAGGTCACCGTTCCTTCCATCTCCTGCCCAACCGCCTTGTCCTCACCATCCTCCTCGTTCCTCACCAGCGATTCAATCAGCGTCCTCAGCGTGACGAGCTGTCTTTCTCGCTCGGTCGCCAGCTCATTCCTGATCCTCAGCACCTCCAACTGGGTTTCGCTCTTCTTCAGGTCTACAAGGAACATCCGAGTCTGTGCTGCCGCCACTTCCATCGTGTCCTCCATGCCTTTCAGGTTCTCCCTTCCTAGCGTGATTTTTTCCTGCAGCTCTGCGATCCTTCTGCCCACCTTCAAGTTGGAAGCCTTCACAAACGCCTTCTCGGTGTCCAGCTGCTTCTCGATCCCCTCCACAACCTCCTTGTAGGCAAGGAACTGGTTCTTGCTGCTCTCCAGGTTCTTCTGCAGCTTCTGAATCTCGTTCCTCTGTAGAGAAGACGTCAGTGAGGGCCACACAAACCACGCCATGCGCACCTTGCCATTCAGAATCATCTTCTGCCCCTCTACATCGATGCGATAGTTGCTCCTCTGGCATATCAGCTCAAACTGAGACGTTCTTCCCTTTGTCTTCTCGTTCAACCATGCCCAGGTCTTGGTCATGTTGTTCTCTTCACGATGGGGTGCACTCATTGACACGCTCACCCTCCTTGTCCTTCCCAACATGCTCCAAACTGGAGCAAAGCATAACGATTCTGAATGCCTGGTGTCCGCTGGGATGACGGAGACGCCTATGAGGAGGCACACCATTGTAGCAAGTCGCATTGTGCTCTCAGCGAGAAGGAAGTGAAATTTACACGGGCAAATCCAGGAGCTCTTCCCTGCTACTTCACCGCATACACCTGGCCTAACCTCCCACCCTAATGAAAGGTTTCTAGCACTTTGCTTGAATGAGCTTGTTCCTACTGTCGCCCAGCCTTTCTCCTTCTGAACTTCTTGTCGTGTCCTTCTCCTCCTCCAGCACTCCTCTCCTCCCCTTTCAATCTTCTTCTTTCCCTCTCAAGCTCTTCCCCCCCTCAAGCTCTTCTATTGCCCCATTAACCACGAGCCCACACCCATCGCCACTTCCCCTGGTGATCAAGGGGTGGTTTCCCCAACCCCGTTATCTCAATACGAAAATATTCAGTCAAATATTTATGTAGTAGAATATCAAAATCATATTAGTCATAAGATTAAATTTTCTCAACCAAAGAAAAGTTTACTCGATTTTAGTACCCCCGCAGGAAAGATTCTGCGGGGTACTCTCAAGGACCAACGCCTCCGTCAAAAACTCGACCCGCCTCAGTGTCGCCCCACCCATTTGGGGTAGACTACCCTACCCTCCAAAAGGTCACCACCCCCGGGAACAATGCACAAGACCCCCACCCTTTCTCAGTTTCCCCCTGATTTCCCCACCCCCTCAGGCATCACACCCCCTTTAAATCCATCTAAAGGACCCCCATTTTTTAACAAAATCCTCTGGAAACGATTAGTATCGAGGGTGGGGTACTAGGACGTCTGTGTAGGGGTAGTCCTGATCACCACCCCTACATTTCATCGACAAGGCGTACATGTGGGCCCGCTCCAGCACAGGCAAATCCGTTAATTGTCGTTACGGTTCTGTCTCTTCACCGGCTCTGCTTGAGGTGTGGGGCATGCGGCGGGAGGGAGTAGCGGCTGTGCTGCTTGCCATGGCGGGGGCGATGCTTCTGCTGATGAGCACGAGAATGCGAGGAAACGAAATGAAGACATCAACAAGATCCGCGCTTGAAGACACCGAGATCGATAAGCTGACCATGGAGCACATAAAGATGTGCTGTTCTACGGTGAGATGTTGCTGGTAGCGCGAGGTGGGGATGAATCTGACGAGATCTGGTGCAGGTCCCATGGCCTTGCTGTCAGCACGAGTCTTGTTGTGATGCCTGGGAGGATGAAGGGCTGGATGAGGTGACACGAGCAATGGGGTTGTTACGAAGGAGTTAACTTGGTTTCCAGGTTGCGGACAAGTCTGTGCCAACAGTTCTGTATCAAATTCCCAAGAGACTGTTGAAACCAATTAGAATGGTGAACAACAACGTGTATAATTGAACACATGGTCAGACCATGTGAACACCACGTCACGAAACTCTCGATTATCCAGTGCATGAGCGCATAGTGTAGATTTGTCTCCAGCTTCTATTCCTTCTTTCTTACATAAACAATGATTTGCGTCAAAGATGCAGTCTGCAATGTTGCAGGAAGCATCAAGAGTTAGCAGGATGCTAAGAATGATGGATGAGCCAACTGGATCATTGAGCATCCTGACGCTGATAATGCTGTGGTCAGGAAGAGGGGATCGAACACATGCTGAACGTGTACCGCGCGATGAGATTCTTTGATGCGCAGAGCAGCCTCTTGGACCTGGACCGGCAGGAGTGAGGAGGCGAGGCGAGGGAAGGGCAGAAAGCACTCACAGCGCTTCTGTCCGCATCTCTCTGTATGACGTTCTTGGCCTCCATTTCCTCCTCGAGGTCAGCCTGCTCCATACGATGGGAGATGAGCGCGGCAACGATGCAGAGAGCAGGAGGACGAACCTGATCCACCTTCTGTCTTGCCTTCGTCTTGGAGACCACCTGAACATCAGAGCATCATCGCACGGCTGGGGAGGTCAAGTTACTACAGCGACCTTGGCGTCGTGCAGGCTGAAAGCCGTGTTGTATCTGGGGCGAGCAGCACAAGAGTAAGGAGGGAGCTGGCAAGAACGTAGCCTTGTTACTCTTTGAAGGTGTCGCCACGAGCTCTTCTTTCGATCAGTTCCTGCACTGTTCCTCCCATCCGCAAGTATCTGACCCATCAAACGTGTAAAGGACAGGAAAGCGGCGCTAGCGAGGTCAGCTGACTCCTACCGTCCCTCCCAATCGTTGGGAGCTCTTTCGGGTTTGAAAACGTAGACCCTCTTGTCCTGTCTTGCGCATGACTGATGTTCGCCTGGATACAACACAAGTGTACCTCCTCCTTTTCACCATGCGAGAAAGACACCAGCCCCATGCACTGTTCCACCACAAACACATTCAAGGAGACTTCTCGACACATCTGAAGAAAACCTCTGCTTCATCCTGCATCCACATGTGAGCACATGGCCAGCAACCAATCGAGTAGGATCTGACTTTTACGATGACGCGATGAATATAATCTGATGGAGGAAATTCGTGATACTCTTTCTCCCCTTCTTGGAACGATTGAAGGGTCTGAACTTGGTATCACAAAACAAACATCCCATGTGATGATTTTACATTTTGGACCCAAAGAATATATTGTTCGCGTTGAGCCTTCTCTTCTGCCTTCCGTTCTTCTTCAGCCTGTTCATTCATCGCAAAGGGCAAAATTACATGAGTAAAACGATCAAAGTGCTTCTGTTACTTACCTCCCGTCTCTTTCGTTTGGCTTCAGCCTCCTTCAAGCAACGGTATGAGCATGTTGTATATAGCCCCAAGGTTGACTTACTGCCGGAGTCGGAGCTCTTTGATCATTCTGGATGGATCCTAATATTGAACCTAGACCTCCAAGTTTTGCTCCCCCTCCTCCCTATCATGTAGCCGCTTGTTACACGATGGAATAAGGAAAAGCCGCAGGGTTTGGCTCAAACCTTTGAGTTCGCGCTCTTAGATTGAGATGGCTGATTTGCTTTAGGTTGATTTGTACTGCTGCCATCGGTCTTGGCCTTCTTCTTGACTACAAGCAACAAGTCAGCCTCAACATGAATGCCACAGCTCCCCTCTCGACCAGATTCTTGTACACTTTCCTCTTGCTGTTTGTCCTTGACCTGTGATGGGTTCTGAGGCACTTCTACAACCACACATGGAGTCAGCTTGTTCTGCAACAACCGGCAAGTGCATCAAAACCAAATTTCGGAGGTTCCCAGCTCTGTTCACCAGTCTTTGAGTTGAACCTGAAGTCAACATGAGGTAAGCTCACAAGTCTCACCCCTACCAATAATGCTTCTTCCAAGTGTTGGACCAGTGCTTGGACCAGCCGGGGGGCAGAATCTCCTCTCCTGACATGCTCCGTCCCTTCAGATGCTCGCCAATCCATGCATCGTCCTGACGAGAAATAATCATCCTTTGTGCATGGACTGAAAGGAGGGAAAAGAAGCAAGATGGAGAAGTTCTGAGAGAAATCTTCAAACAGTTTGATGTCCTTTCCTCCTCACTGAAACAATCCCTAGCACATCCTCAACAACCGCCGCCATACCCTCCCAACCTCGCATTCACAGCGTCGCCCTCCCTACCAGAACTCGAGTAACGAGGCCGAGGACGCCCCTTACTCCATATGTTCACTCAACTAAATAAAAGAGAGCCTGCACCAGAGCATCACTTAGAAATGACTAAGGGACATCAATTAGAACATGTCATTACGCTCTTCCCGTCTGCACTCGTCGCTCTATCAGTTAGCTATGAGCTATGCTCTACGAAGTCGGATCAGTCAGCCTGAAGGCTGCCAGACTCTACTGATGTCTCTCCCCTTTCAGTTTGTCTCCTCAGGTTCGCCTTGGCACTCCCCGCCACTTCATTGAGCTCGACTCGGCGATCGAAGCACACCTGTGATAGTCCACTTTCTGAAGAACAATTTAACCAGGAACTGCGACTCTCTGCTCTGCAGTCAGTGGTAGACAAGCATGTCTGTTTTGTCAATCGATCAACGTTGGGGTCTGAATCCTCCACACAAACATCCTTAATCCTTGTTGCTGAGAAGCGTTTTCAGGTTCGTGAGAAGAATTGATGCAACGATGTGTTAATGAAGAATTGATACAACGATGTGCCATTTAATGGCACGAGGCAGTTCATCATTGCAGACAAATTTTACTTATGCAGCCTTTGATTTACCAGTAATGCTAGTTCGACCTAACAAGAACATTTTTCAAGTTTGTATATCCAGCTTTGTTTCGGTTCATCAGAATCGTTCCCCATTCGAAGCAAAAGATCTACTGTACATGCCCATGATCTGGTCCATCCTGTAGCATACTCCCCGCTCCTCTTCTACCTCCTCCTCATCCACCGGAAAGCCGCAGTACCATGCACACCATTCTTCCTCCGCTTCCCTCCTCCTCCTCATCTCCTCGTCCTCGGACCCCGCACTCTCCTCCCCTGCGCTCTCCTCCTCCACGAGCTCCTCTAGATGCATCCTGTCCTCAGCCTCGCATGCCGGCTTCTGATCGGCTGCCGTATTGCGCGAGGGCCCCCGCGTACCTCCTGCCCGGCGGCCAGATCTCCACTTGCTCACCCCAAGAGCCTTGCAGGCGTTCTTGAAAGCCGTCAGTGAGATCCCGAGCTTCTCCGCTGCCTCGGACTGCCGCAGGTGCAGGAGACGGACGATGTCCGGGTAAGTGAGGGGGACGGCATGGTTCTTGTCCGACGGAGATGAGGCAGAGGGTCTCCGTCTCCGGGGGAAGATGAGGTGGTGGCGGAGGAGGGAGGAGGGAGGAGGGGGGTAGGCAGGGGAGGGGGAGGGGTCTTGGGAGGACTGGTCAAGGGAGGAAGGAGGCGGGGAGGGGAACATGGGCGAGGAAGGAGGAGGGAAGGAGGATGAGGTAGAAGACATGGGAGGAGAAGGAAACAGGAGGGGTGACCTGTGGAACAGGAGGCAAATCAATTGACGCGGTATCGTGACCATCGGTCAGGTATCGTGATATGCTGACAATACAAGTATTTACAAACGGTCCTTGATATGAAAGGTTTCGTGTTGAGCGAAAACGAACACAGCTTGTACAACCAAAAATACTGTGTACCGAGTTTTATTATTATTATTGAGAATTTCTATGTTGAGCATCGAATCTTGGAGAAGAATTGACCTCCACAACTCGGAACTGACGTCAGGATCAGGTGCTGATCACTTTCACTGCTTCGCTGGGTAGATGATATTTTGGCTACTCTCTGACAGCAGCAGACTGTCTGTAGCATGCAGTGGAACATGCAACAGTGACTTGGCAAGGCTCTACGAACTCGAGTACATGTTATCAGTGACATTGATAAACTTGTCTGTATTGTATCAGCTTGACCTCGCTCCACCCTCTATCCCGATACAGCTGCTCACCCCATTGTAAATCTCCATGATCTGGTCCATCCTGTAGCATACTCCCCGCTCCTCTTCTACCTCCTTCTCATCCACCGGAAAGCCGCAGTACCATGCACACCATTCTTCCTCCGCTTCCCTCCTCCTCCTGATCTCCTCGTCCTCGGACCCCGCACTCTCTTCCCCTGCGCTCTCCTCCTCCGAGAGCTCCTCTAGACGCATCCTGTCCTCAGCCTCGCATGCCGGCTTCTGATCGGCTGCCGTATTGCGCGAGGGCCCCCGCGTACCTCCTGCCCGGCGGCCTGATCTCCACTTGCTCACCCCAAGAGCCTTGCAGGCGTTCTTGAAAGCCGTCAGTGAGATCCCGAGCTTCTCCGCTGCCTCGGACTGCCGCAGGTGCAGGAGACGGACGATGTCCGGGTAAGTGAGGGGGACGGCATGGTTCTTGTCCGACGGAGATGAGGCAGAGGGTCTCCGTCTCCGGGGGAAGATGAGGTGGTGGCGGAGGAGGGAGGAGGGAGGAGGGGGGTAGGCAGGGGAGAGGGAGGGGTCTTGGGAGGACTGGACAAGGGAGGAAGGAGGCGGGGAGGGGAACATGGGTGGCAAAGGGGAAGCTGAGGATGGAGACCACTGGATGAAGTATGTATGAGGTATGGAACTTGCGCCTTCCTGTCGAAAGATATTCAGCACGTCATGGTGTAAAAATCCACACGGTACTTTCCGCCAAAGGATGTAATTTCACCTTCCATTGGGATGAAACGTTTCTCCTTGTTTGAAAAAGAGAGATTTCGTGGTATACATACCTGTAAGCCAGTACTGTTTTTGTTGTTGCGACGTGTGGGATATCCCAGAGCTCTTCAACTGCATCCCTTCGAGTGGTGGATGACAAATATAAAACTCAAATTCGGATCGAGCCGATCGCAGTCTCCGGACCATGGGAGTCAAAACTGCTTTATTTGCGTCGGTTCCATGTCACTCCAATGCTCCCGTCAAAACAATCATGGTTCCATTGTTTACTCAAAGTTAAGTTAAAATCAGTACGAGGACAATCAGGAGACTCCACTCAGTTACTTGAGAGCTCGGCCCGGAGTGCTCGGCCGGGCCGGGCCCTCACGCAGGACGCAAAGGCGATCTCCGACAATCGAGATCGCAGCGTTCTGATGGACCACTGGTCGTATTGTGGTACCCACCCACGGGTACGAAAATAGACGATAAGTACCCACCATTTGACCTTTGTGTACCCTATGAACGCATGTTCTGAGGACTACCCCAGTTACCCAAGAACCCCCTTCAGAAAGTCTTTCACCTTGGGGTTACGAATTGACTTCTCCCTGCTGCTATGGTGGCGGTAGAGGAGAAGTCACATGCTGACGAGGACGTTTCACCCACCTTCTCACTTGTCTTCTCTCACTCTCCTCCTCCACTGTCTCTGCCGTTTCATGGGATCTCTACTCCCTGTCAAAGGAGCTACCAGTACATCGCACTAGGGTATAGATGGACACCGAGCTCAAATGCAGAGTGCATGAGAAGGTAATCCTCGCTGTCATTAGTATGAATTTTTCATGTTTTGATTCGACAAGACTCTTGACCTGTTTGTTTGATAGCATGTTCTTCTGGCACAACGAGTCCTTGAATATTTGGTAAGTTTAAACTGCAACTTTAATATGCCCCACTCTATCCAATGTTGCAGATTATGCCGATGAGATTTATTTTTCATGTTGAGATGATCGAACTTCTTACTCTGACGATTCCATTCACAGGACACACGTCTTTGGAGCAATTCTTTTCACATTTCTCCTTATAGAGCTCTTTCTCCTACCCGGGGTTGTGGTGTTTCATTACCATTTGTCGGCTCAAGACGCAGTTGTGCTAGCCATTTATCTCTTTTCAGCCATTGTTTGCATGGTACTTAGCAGCATTTTCCATCTTTTCTCTAGCTCAGACGATGAGACGTACGAAAGAGTCTCGAAAGCTGACCAGAATGGAATCCTTGCGCTGATGTTGGGGTCAAATTTTCCCATGATCTACTATGGTTTTTACACATCCCTTCCTTTGCAAACATTCTATGCTGCTGGAAGTTTACTCATCATTCTATTTGCAAGGAGCAGGATCGTCAAGATCGAGTCAAGGGTGAGAACGACAACCAACAGCAAAGTTACAGACGTAGACTGACCTCTGCTCCTCAGAACCGAAGACTGGTCTTTTTCTTGCTTGTATGCGGCTTTGGTTGGCTCCAATTGCTGCATGACCTCGCGAACAGAGGGGGGTTACAATCGGCTGCTTGCCTCAAGGCTGCTTCTTTGTGGATCAAGTCCTTCTGCGTCTACGGGCTGGGACTTTTCTTTTATTGTAGCAAAGTGCCAGAGAGAATTTTCCCGGGGAGGTTTGCGACGGTCGGTACGAGGTAGATCTAGATGTGTTGATTGCACTGTTCTGCTGTCCACTGACTCTGTGATGGGTGGCGGTAGTCATCAGCTGTGGCATGTCTTCGTCGTCTTTGGGGCCTTTGTCCACCTTCAATCCTGTATCGAATACGGGATCCTGGCTGGGGCGATAGTGGACCAAACGAGCAGGGCATAACGTTTTGATCAGGTCGGCGCGTGCTATTGAGGAGAATGTGACTTGTACTTTAAGATTTTTTTTGTTTGCGAGTTGACAATCACGAAAGGGAAAGTGGATCATTTTACTGTAGAGTGGGCAAGGAGGACAGGTGGCTATCAATGAGAGAACACGAAGTGAGGTAGAAGGTTTTTTTGGCGTGGTTGCGTGTACTTTTATGAGTTTAATAGATCTTTGCATTTCAAATGTCAGTCTTTTTTCACATTGCATATCTTTATTGTCATCGTCAATAGTACATGTATGTATTTGACCATCCGTCCCTCATCCAATCACAGTGTCTATTGGTCCCTACCTCCAACTTGTATATACAGACAGAAAATAAGTGCAAACAAACTGTGACTCTAATCACTGTTTGAGTTCGCGGGTGACTATAAAAGAAGTAAACGGAATTGGTTTGAGTCATTTAAAGAATTAGTTTACAAGTGAAGTTCTAAACAGAAGGAAGTCGTCTCTTGCACGACTCACGATAAATCTGTGCGCCTCTTCTCTTCATGATCTCCACCCATTCATCACGGATCGTCTCGTGCCTGCAGTAGAAGTGCAGACAATCCGAACTTGGGGTCCTTTCGATGTTATCTTTGCAGAGAGATTTCAAGTGCTTCTCATCCGTTGTGATAACGAAGATGCAAGGAAATCCTTCGAAGACTCCAATGATAGTATCCTCCAACATGAAATTTCCCATCTCCAACATCTCTTTCCCTTTCGATCTCGTGAGGATCAGCCTTGATTTGTTCAACATCAACTCCAGCTTCATACCAGTTCTTGCTTGTAGGTTCTCCCTGAGCTCTAGCGTTCCACTCACAGACAATCTATTGTTGTCAAGGCTCAGTCTCGAGTTCTGGGGCCCGGCATTATGTGTTTGCGACTTGCGCACCGAATTATCAATTGGGAACTCACAATTATTATCCTTTAAGGAATCTGGGGCCTCCCGGCTCTTGCTCACACGAATGCCCTCATCTGACCTTGCAGAACACGGCGAGATGGCAAGCTTGTCAGACATGAAGTCGCGAAATCTTGTAGGAGACGTTTCTGGGGAGGAATAGGAGAGAAATGCATCTTGGATGGCGTTTCTCAACATCACCTGATGGTGATTCGCAAACGAGTCTCTGTAGCAGGTGTTACTGAAATCCTCTGGAATCCCAAGGACGTTGTCGTTGGGCTTTTCGATCTCAAAGCATCCTTGAAGGTATAGCCTGCTCTCTTCGACACTTCTCCTGCGCCCGATGCTTGATTTCGTATGCCTTACAGAACTGAGCAACGGAACAATCTGGGATTGCAGCTCTGGTTGTGTACTTCTAGGTGTTCGACTGACTTCCAGCATGATAATGCAGCAGCAGTTAGAGACACCACAGGTCGAAGACGGTGCAAGGGACTAGATGATGGGATCAAGATCAAGAGGGCGAGGCGGTGGAGGGGATAATGAGAATGAGGGAAGGCCAGGGGGAGGAGATCGCAGCCAGGAACGTCGAGGTCTGCGCAGAGTCTGGCACCTTTCTAGGAGAAGCAAGCAAGGGGTTCGAAGTTTTATTAGGAGGGGTGATACATGAATTGGTAGGGTCCAGAGTCTGATGTCAGGGTGCAAGTCGTTCAATGCAGTACCTTATTGAAGGTTAAAGAGGGGTCATATTGTGTACAGGTGGGTACTCTCGTCCACTTCGATGTTTAAGGGGGGTAGGGGTACTTTTGGTCTTTACTCCTTGAAGTCCGTGACCCACAAAGTAGGGTGGGGTACAAAATAGAGTCACGGCGATTCCGGGTTTAGGGCAGAGGATAGGGGTCAACGTGGTAGAAAGAAGGGGTGATAGAAGGGGTCTCAAGGGTATCAGGGGTGGCAGGGGTGGCAGAGGTAGGAACAAAATGGCAATGACAGTCAATCGCGCTAAAATTACATGTAGCCTGGCGAACTTCCACGGGGTGGGGGTTATCGCAGGTACGTACATTTGAGTGAAACGAAAAGGAAAGACAAGGGGTCGAAGGAAATTAGCCGATGTTGGTAGGTAGGGTGCTAAAAACTTGTCCTCGGCTCGTCACGGTTGCTGACTCTGTCTGGGGTGGGGTGAACAATCGAGGATGGTGGGGGTGGAGATGGTCCTTGCAAGAGAAAATTAGGTGCGCTGAGGGTCGGAGAGGTAGAAGGGGTACTCAAAAGGCTGCAGAAGGGGGTAGTCCATGAGGTTTGGCTTGCGGCTGGCAACTAGCTTGCAAAAAAACAAGATCAGGAACACAACGGACTGTAACGAGAAGTAACGGAGCGGTTGAAAGTCGGCCCGGTTTCGGGACGGTTGTAGAAGCCTCCAATGCTGGTTTTGTAGCAGGGATGGCGGAAGGAGGCGAAGTAGCGGAGGAAGGGAAGGAGGAGGGCAAGAGCTTTGACCAGGACGAGCTGCTCTACGAATTCATACGGTGAGATGAAGTGAAACATGAAAGCTTTTGTTGTCGGGCGTGACTTGAACTTGAGCCCTTATGACATTTTCCCTTTCCACACTCTACTGTACAAAGGGGAATTGCTTGTATGAGAAAACATGATTTTGGCTGTTGGTTGTAGCAAACATTTTGTTGAATTTCTTTGCTGATTCGATGACACAGTGACGACGGAGGGAAACCTGGCCATAGCCAAGTTTTGACTACCAAAGTTGTGTGCGAGATTCTTGCTCAACTGAACAGCAGCTGTCTCGTTTCTTATCTTTTGCAAGAGCTTATCAAGAACGGGATTACGCCGAAAGGTGATTGCGTACATGATCGTCGATTGGTCAGCGCTGCCTACAACAAGATGAAAGACGACCTCTCAGATATTCGAGGAGCAGACTCTTGCGCTTCACGGATTTTACGGGCAAGGAAACAGATGTTGACGTATGTGCTGTACACAGATCTGATCTGTCCGAGAGATGAGCTGTCTTTTTCAAGCGATGTGAAGCCCCAGGACATCAAACTCATCCTCACCGAGAAGGCATTGAGCTCCCTGGACATGTGGAATCGGGCTGCCGAGAACTTGATCCAGGGCCTCCCAGCTTCGAGCATGTGCGATACATTCTCCTTCCTGCGGGATCAAGCAGGGCAGTGTGTCCTCAGTGCGACGACTTACACCGTCCTGCTGCTAGAGTATCAAGTTCGACCCTTCGAGCCAAATTTCGTCAAGTCAGAGATCAACTCGATGTGCTCGGAGGCAGTTGCGCTTGCAACTCACCTGAAGCAGGAGAAGTTAGACGTTCTGATTGAGAGGAGCAACAAGCTCTTTTCCGGTGCTGCGATTTGTGCTCGCGTGTTGAGGGACTCGATCATGTCCGTACAATCAAGCATGAAATCCTCAACGGCACTAGATTCTGAAGAACAGATACAGGAGGAGGCTCAACGAGTCGCAGACATTTTGCATGCTGCCTCCTCAAATGTACTCTCATCAGCGAACTCAACCATACAGAAAGTCGATGGCTATCTGGATCGCGATTGCTCCATCTCTCATGGAAGTTCATCCCAACATCATGTTCATCATTCCGATCCACACAGTCTGGAACACTCGGCGTTGAATTCTCAAATTTCACCTGACGTCAGTTCTTTGCAGCATGCCCGTGATGGAGAGGAGGTCATAGCAGAGAGTACTTTCCAAGACGATCATGACGCAGTTGTCATCCCGTCTGTGCAACAGCCAGCTCAGAACCAAGATGGTATGCAGCAAGACTCTGATCGTCCAGTGGGTAAAAGCGATGAAGTCATCGAGCCCTCGATTGCTGACAACACTCCTCACCGAAGATGGAACGTCACTGTTGACGTCGCTCCTTTCAATCACACGAGGGAAGCTCAGAAATCTGCTGGCCATCCTTCAAACAAGAGTGTAGAGTGGAGGTTGAACGATGCTGGTCCACCGAAGCAGGTGCCCGTGCTGCACCCGATCTTTCTCAAATCAAGGAGCGGGAACAAAGCTCCTTACCAAGGTCGATATCAAGCCGGTATTGGGCTGAAGCAACAGATGCGAGGCATTGAAATTGATATCCACGTGTTAAGAAATCAGTTGAAGATGCTGGATAGAAAGCCCTTGCACATGATGAAGCTTTCGTCGCAGCAGGTGTTGTGTTGCCTTGTAGCCTTGTAGAGTCTTACCTATCGATCAAGCAGGAGGAAGTAGAATCCAAAGATCGCTTTCCACTGCTCCCTGTCGTGCATCGAGACAGTCTGCAAGATAATCGGCTTCGCGCAGCGACAGCGGGTGAGGAATGGAAGCCAAGCAAGTTGAAGAAGCTGTACTCTCTGTCCGAGTACGGGAAGACACCCGTGTCGTCGCCCCTGACGTCAATGCGCCCTCTCTCGCCTTTCGCGGATGCGATGAAACAACCTCCGTCTCCCTACGGTCAGCCGCTGTCGCCCTTTCCCCGACCCTCTTCTCCTTTCGGGGAGGCGTTCTTGCCGAAAGGGTCGCCCAAGTTCGGGAAGGGAGGGAAAGGGAGAGAAATGGAGCTGAGGTCGTTTCTCCATAGCAGAGACCAGCATGGGAGGCTTATGAAAGATGGCTCTCTCCTGCTCGCTTCGTTTCTGGACGTCGCCAAGAAGGATATGGATCAGAGCGCGAACGACGCCGCTGTGAAGATTCAGAGCTACTGGCGCCGGGTGAAGCAGCGGATGTCGTTTCATGACTCGGTGAAGATGACGGTGTCTATCCGAGCAATTTCCAAGTTTCTGAGCATGAAGCAAAGTGAGATCAACCTGATCTTTCGACGGGTGAACGACGTCGAGCTCATCACTCAAAAACTCAACGACGAGATGCAGCGAACTGCCGAGCGGGTGGCTGAGATGGACAGGCGAGAGCAGCTGGAGTGTGAGAAAGCAGACAAACAGGCTGAGCTGGAGCTTAAAGAGCTGGAGGAGGCAGAGCGAATAGCAAAGCAAGGAGCGTTGGAGGCAGAGGCTGCACAGTCGCGCATGGAGAGGGAGAGGGATGAGATGCTCGCATGGAAGGCCAAGGTGGATCGCTATCAGGCCTCATACGAGGCCACAAAGAACGAACTTCAGATCAAGGATGATGACGAGGAGTTTCTACGACAGAACCATCAGTTTGTTCATCGAGAGAAGAAACAGTGGATGAACATCAAGAACCGATATGAGCGCGAGAAGGAGACGTTTGAAACCTCCTACCATGAGCTGATGCAGAAGCGCGAGGCGAATGATCACGCAATGCTCAAGGCAGCGAGGGAGCGGGTGGAGTGGCAGGAGGCGCGGCAGGAAGCTCTCAGGGAGCGAGAGGAGATTCAGAAGTTCCACCGGCTGAGGTTCTTTGTGAACCCCAAGACTTCAGTCAAAGAAAGATTCCGTGCCATCGCTGGGATGTCGGTCGATTGCCCTCGCTATCTTCACGCTACTACCAAGAAGAGCGGGGAGGTCTCTTACAGCGGGATGCTCTACGCTGACAAAGACAACACCTTCTCCGGAGAGTTCACAGTGGTGAAGGCCATGCCAGACTCCGACGTCGTCGAGGCGTTTGAGATGCACAAGAACGACAAGGAGCTGCTGACGGTCGCGGGCATGGGCAGGGCGCTAGGGAGGCTGGGAAGGAAGTTCGACCAGCACGAGTGCGAGAGGATGATGGGGCGCTTCTCTCAGTCACAGGCGGGGCTGGCGCTTGACAACTTCCGATGTCTCTGCGACCATTTCGTCGGGCTGGAGCTGCCGCACGGGCTCGGGGTGGAGAGGTTTGCCGACGGGAGCAAGTACGAGGGGGAGGTGTACGAGGACAAGCGCTCAGGGATCGGGATGTACAGCACGAGCGACAACTTCTGGTACCTGGGGGGCTGGCACCTCGGAGTTCGCCATGGGCGAGGGCTGGAGGGGAAGGTGACGAGTGGAGGGATCCTGGTGCCAGTAGCCTTGATCCATTGCCACAAGGGGAAGCGAACTAAAGTCGAGAGGTTCGACCCGAAGAAGCCTCACCACCGGACCACCATCCGCTCCATGTCGACCATCGTCGAGCTGGCGCGCAAGAGAGCGACGAAGGCGCAGCGGGAGGTGATACAGGAAGCTCACAGGTCAGAGCGCAGGAGGTGGGGCCACCAATACTCCAGCGAGTTCATCCAGAAGCTTGCGAGCTGCAGGACGGAGTACGAGAACTTCGTGTGGGAGATATGAGGAAAGAGGATGGGCTGGACGCGGCAGTTTGATCCTATGATTGTATTTTGTTAGCACGGAGGAACGAAAGGAAATCATTCAACAAGAGCAGATTCCTTTCAAAGTTGATGATCTCATCTCCTGTACTCCTCCACTTCTTTCCCCGATGACTCGTCTGCCTCTGCTCTTCGAATTTCTCCGCGTTCACCTTGTCAAATAGCCATGGAAGGCCATGGACGGACTCCGCCTCCTCCTCGTCCTCGAACATTTTGTCGCCTCTGTTGCTCTCCTGCTTGATCCCGATGGCAACCACCAGACGTTCCAATGTCACCACGACAATCTGATCAGCAGGTTGTAACGAAGCAGAGTCCGTAAACTCCACGCGCTTCTTTGATACCCTCGAGCGCAGCCCGAGAAAGCATCCCACCCGATTGTTCTCCTCATCGTCCTCCTCCTCCTGTCCCTGACTGTTGGTCACCTCCTTCCTCCTCTTCTTCGTCCTGTTCAGTCGTTCGCTGTCCGTCTTCTTCACACTGAATCCGCTCACCAGCACGCGATTGTTCCCCTCCGCCAGAGTCTCCACGAGGCCTCGAAGAAGCGCGTCCGACGGCCCCTTCCTCGGGCCCAAGGGCTTCGCCACCTTTGCAGTTGAGTCCATGACGACAAGATCGTCTTCCTGCATGTCCACCCAGACCTGTCAAGCACGTCATGACCAGAACAGAGAGAGAGAGGGAGAGAGGGAGAGAGAGAGGGAGAGGGAGAGAGAGAGAGGGAGAGAGAGAGAGGGAGAGGGAGAGAGAGAGAGAGAGAGAGAGAGGGAGGGAGGGAGGGAGGGAGGGAGGGGAGGGAGGGGAGGGAGGGGAGGGGAGGGAGGGAGGAGGAGG